GACTGTCCATAATTTTAAAGGGTGCCTCAAGGACTGTCCATAATTTTAAAGGGTGCCTCAAGGACTGTCCATAATTTTAAAGGGTGCCTCAAGGACTGTCCATAATTTTAAAGGGTGCCTCAAGGACTGTCCATAATTTTAAAGGGTGCCTCAAGGACTGTCCATAATTTTAAAGGGTGCCTCAAGGACTGTCCATAATTTTAAAGGGTGCCTCAAGGACTGTCCATAATTTTAAAGGGTGCCTCAAGGACTGTCCATAATTTTAAAGGTGCCTCAAGGACTGTCCATAATTTTAAAGGGTGCCTCAAGGACTGTCCATAAATTTTAAAGGGTGCCTCAAGGACTGTCCATAATTTTAAAGGGTGCCTCAAGGACTGTCCATAATTTTAAAGGGTGCCTCAAGGACTGTCCATAATTTTAAAGGGTGCCTCAAGGACTGTCCATAATTTTAAAGGGTGCCTCAAGGACTGTCCATAATTTTAAAGGGTGTGCCTCAAGGACTGTCCATAATTTTAAAGGGTGCCTCAAGGACTGTCCATAATTTTAAAGGGTGCCTCAAGGACTGTCCATAATTTTAAAGGGTGCCTCAAGGACTGTCCATAATTTTAAAGGGTGCCTCAAGGACTGTCCATAATTTTAAAGGGTGCCTCAAAATAATTTTAAAGGGTGCCTCAAGGACTGTCCATAATTTTAAAGGGTGCCTCAAGGACTGTCCATAATTTTAAAGGGTGCCTCAAGGACTGTCCATAATTTTAAAGGGTGCCTCAAGGACTGTCCATAATTTTAAAGGGTGCCTCAAGGACTGTCCATAATTTTAAAGGGTGCCTCAAGGACTGTCCATAATTTTAAAGGGTGCCTCAAGGACTGTCCATAATTTTTTAAAGGGTGCCTCAAGGACTGTCCATAATTTTAAAGGGTGCCTCAAGGACTGTCCATAATTTTAAAGGGTGCCTCAAGGACTGTCCATAATTTTAAAGGGTGCCTCAAGGACTGTCCATAATTTTAAAGGGTGCCTCAAGGACTGTCCATAATTTTAAAGGGTGCCTCAAGGACTGTCCATAATTTTAAAGGGTGCCTCAAGGACTGTCCATAATTTTAAAGGGTGCCTCAAGGACTGTCCATAATTTTAAAGGGGTGCCTCTTTTTAAAGGACTGTCCATTTTAAAGGGTGCCTCAAGGACTGTCCATTTTAAAGGGTGCCTCAAGGACTGTCCATTTTAAAGGGTGCCTCAAGGACTGTCCATTTTAAAAGGACTGTGCCTCAAGGACTGTCCATCATTTCAAAAGGCGCCTTAAATGAAAAAAGGTGGAGAAACCCTGGTCTATGCCAGGGTTTCTCAACCAGGGTTCCTCCAGAGGTTGCTAGGTGTTCCTTGAAGATTGAGCAATTCCTACCTGTCAAATAAGCCCCCACTTTCACCATTGATCCTTTTAGCTATTTGCAAAGGGCGCGATTCTTCCTAATGACCTCAAGTGTGTGAGAACCATTCTTCCCACCAACCATCACACTAAAGTATCATGATCTGTAGGTATAACAACATTTAGCAGTGGTTCCCAGAGATCAGAAAGTTATTTTAGGGTGCGTCATTTTGTCACTTCTGGGTCGGGAACATCTAAGCAGAGTGAAAACGAGGCATGGAGTGCATGGCGGCCATTATAGAAATCTTACATGCTGGAAACACTGGTGCCAGTCTATAGGCACCTGCACATGTGAGTGCAATTTAGCATTTCTGTGTAATTGTTTCTTAATTAAAATACTACACTTAGAGAGCCATTTACTTGTTTGATTCATTTAATGGCCAGCTGCATTACTGTGGGAGGAATATCTTTAAAGAGTCAATAATGCATCATATTGTGATCCTTTACATGTGGCTATTACTAACGCATTTCCAAAGGGGGGAAATGGAGAGCATTTGGTCCCCTATAAAACCTATACAAGGCGTATTTGACCACCGTAACTGGGCTCAAAAGACCTGGGGAGTGAGCCATCCACATTATGATTGTGAGCACGCGGTGAAGATAGTCACTATCTGGTTCTGCTTTGATTTGGCACAGATAGAAGAAGCTGCAAGGATTGGCACTTCATATATGGACGTTTTCACCATTCACCTATATCTGTTATATATTGATAATATTGGTTTGCTGTTGTATAGAATTACCAGGTTTGGTTCATGCACTGTGAGGCGTATACCAAATTTGTGGTACTTTATATAGGGATCTTTGGTCTCACAAACTGCACTTTTATTTGGTTTATTTTGACATAATGTAGCGCCCACCTATTCTATTATAATTGCATATTTTAGGGGTTCATCTGTGTTGATAAGGGTGAGGAAGGCTGTTTTATACAGATAGTAGCCTGGCAAGGATTTAATCTGAGGAGGCCAGCGCTGCAAGGCAGAAGGGCCAACCACTATGCTGGGGGATTCCTCTTCAGTTATGGGACTGACTCAAGACAGTTCCATAAAGCACAGCATGTCTTTAGCAAATAGACCAAATATCAATGTCCCTGGGAGCGCGCAGCACTGCGATCCGGACCCCGTTGTGTCCTGCGGACACAGTGGAACACCGATCGTCATACGGGTCCTCTGTGTACGAGGTCCCGATCATGTGATCATTGATTGCCCAATCAGTGATCACATGCAGAGTAGTAAGCAAGATGTCACTTCTGACATCATTGCTTACTACCTGTGAAATCTGTGAATGATCACAGAGGTCACATGGTACAGGGCTATTCACAACTGCCTTGTACCATGTGACAAGCTGTGACCAATCACAGCTCACACAGTAGTTCTCAATGGCTGCAAGAATGCAGTGTCCAGACTGGAAGTGGTTAAGTTCCCTGCCAGTCATTTTATACACAAATCCTGCTGGAAATTACCTTAGTTTCTGTGGCTTCACTGAAACAAATCTTTGGTTACTTTCACACACACCATGCTGTCATAAAGATACCCTGTCATCAGTGAAAAAAAAACCCCAAAAAACGAATCACCTTGTAAAATCCATATACAAATTCCCCTTGACGCCTCAATAGCATTCAATCTTTGCTCACTTGCAAAGCCGCCAGGACCTTCAGCATCTGACATTGTGTAATGCCTTCATCTACCACATCACGTGTGTGTGTTCCTTCAGGGGCACAGGGACATAGCAAACACTATGTGTGGACCGGGGGCCCGGGGTGGGGGTTTTATTGCATGGCAACATTGTCATGATTTTACAGTGTAGGGTGGACGGCATTGTTGCTTTTTGTACTTTGTTATGAAAGTGCCAATAAACATTACGTTTTAAGCCGCCCACAGTATGTTCTCCTGAGGACTTCTTTACCTACTGGTCAATGTATCTACTGCATAGGGACACAGCAGATGGGATTTGGTGGTGGTGGGGTTGATGGGGCACACAAAGGGCTGGCCGCATCAAACATTGCAATGATGGTGGTGATGGCATTATTCAATATTTTACAAAAATTGGTATTTGTTGATACAGAAGACCCTGCGGGATTGATTTACCAAGACTGGAGAGTGCAAAATATGGTGCAGATGGTCATGGTAGCCAATCAGCTTCTAACTTCAAACCTTTCAATTAAGGCAGTGTTTCTCAACTCCAGTCCTCATGGACCCCCAACAGGTCATGTTTTCAGGATTTCCATTATTTTGCACAGGTGATTTGATCAGTTTCACTGCCTTAGTAATTACCACAGCTGTTTCATCTGAGGGAAATCCTGAAAACATGACCTGTTGGGGGTCCATGAGGACTGGAGTTGAGAAACACTGAATTAAGTTTTGATTTAAAAAAAAACAAAAAAACCTGGAAGCCGATTGGTTTCTATTCAAAATCTGGTGCAGCTCTGCACTCTCCAGTTTTTGTAAAACAACCCATAGGTATCAAAATGTTTTTACATGTTCCCCTACCAACATTAGAACTCAGAACCACTGCTGGAGGGTCATGTAGCTGCTGCCAACACATAGAAGCATACTGCTCCTGAAGGAACAAAATCTGAAGCAGATGTAGATTATATGAAAACATAAGGTCAGCTTTTTTTTTTTCTTTCTTAAAAGTACATCTGAGCAAAGTATTAAAAAATATTCAGTACATCTCTATTATACATGTATATTTCTCCTGTTATTATTATTATACAGGATTTATATAGCGCCAACAGTTTGCTCAGCGCTTTACAAAATGAAATCTTTTGTGTCTGTGCACGAATGCAGAAAAATACCTGATTTGCCAGAAATCCATTGTTTATAATATACTGTTTCAGTTGACAAGACACTGGGAGGGAGATGTACTAAAACTGGTGCAGCTGTGCATAGTGACCAATCAGCTTCTAATTTCAGCTTGTTCAGTTGAGCTTTTGACAATAAACCTGGAAGCGGATTGGTTACCATGCACAGCTGCACCAGATTCTGTGCGCATATGGTTTAGTAAATCTACCCCAATGCTTCTGTTGCACTGAAATAACAAGAAACGCAGTCAGGACTGCCAGACGACATCTCTGCTGGACTACAGAACACCTTCCTCTTTGGAACACGAAGGGGGGAAAGATCTGTAGTGGAACAGATGATATATAAGCAAAGCCGAATATACTGAGTGGGAGTTTAGTAGAGAGGGTCAGCATTGTCGGCTTTCCAAGTTATGACCTCACAGGATTTCTGGCAGATCAGTGGCCATTTGTAAAGGGATAATATAATCCCAGCACTGCAGATGTACTAAATGTTTTTTTTGTACACATTAAGGAATTGTGAGAACAAAAAACAGTAGAATACTATGCATCTTGACAACATAAGCAAAGGAAAAGTGGAAATATAGAGTAAAGCAGTAAGGGGCATGCTTTAGTTTTCTGCCCAGCACTAGAAGAAATGACAGCTAGAATACAATTTGTGGGCAAAGGATAAAGCATCTTTATTATTTACCTCTAGTTTCCACAGATCAGCCTCAACGTCCGAGCACACAGACTGAATTACCTTGTCAGATCTACCGCCACGACTGGGCCTTCCTCCTCCACCACCACCACCACCACCTCCACCACCACCACGTCCGCGGCCACCTCTTCCACCTCCGCGTCCACGGCCGGGACGGCCAAGATCTCCGAAATTGATCTCAAGTTGGGAAGTGATATCATTTGCAGGTTTGCGGAAATGGTGATCCAAACCTTCAGACTCCGCGTGAACCTGGAAAAAATAAAAATAAAAAGTCATATATCCTATCAAGTCAAAAAAACATACAATGCAGAGTAGGAAGACTAATGAGCACTGTGATCTCAGCAGTTAGTGGTTGTGGAAGAGGTTCTGATTACCGTATTTTTCGCCGTATAAGACGCACATGACCATAAGACGCACCTAGGTTTTAGAGGCAGAAAACAGGAAAAAAAAAAATTCTGAACTAATGGACTGCGGACAGCACAGGGATGACCAGAGACTGCGGACAGCACAGGGATGACCAGAGACTGCGGACAGCACAGGGATGACCAGAGACTGCGGACAGCACAGGGATGACCAGAGACTGCGGACAGCACAGGGATGACCAGAGACTGCGGACAGCACAGGGATGACCAGAGACTGCGGACAGCACAGGGATGACCAGAGACTGCGGACAGCACAGGGATGACCAGAGACTGCGGACAGCACAGGGATGACCAGAGACTGCGGACAGCACAGGGATGACCAGAGACTGCGGACAGCACAGGGATGACCAGAGACTGCGGACAGCACAGGGATGACCAGAGACTGCGGACAGCACAGGGATGACCAGAGACTGCGGACAGCACAGGGATGACCAGAGACTGCGGACAGCACAGGGATGACCAGAGACTGCGGACAGTACAGATGACTGCTGACCTTTGGGGAGGTGGGGAGCGGGTACCTGAATTTGACAGGTACCCGCTCTTACTTCCGCAGAGTTTTTGTTTGATCTTACCTGTTCCTCCATCCAGCCGCGCGCTGTCTTCCCGGCTTCTGTAATGGCGCTCGGCATGACAGCCGGGTGCCCAGTGCGCATGAGCGAGAAGCACTTGCGCTTTGTGATTGGTCCGGCGGCTTCTGGGATCTGTCATGTGTCCCAGGTACCGCCTTACCATTCACAAAAAGCACCGCTTCTTGCGCATGCGCACTTGGCACCCGGCTGTCATGCCCAGTGCCCACACTACAGAAGCCGGGAAGACAGCACGCTGCTGGATTGAGGAACAGGTAAGGTCCCGCTGCAGAGCTGAGCGGCCGGCCCGGTATTCTGACACAGCCGCGGTGGAAATACCGGACCGGGCCGCTCCATATTCACTCCATAAGACGCACTGACATTTCCCCCCCAGTTTTGGGGAAGAAAAAGTGCGTCTTATAGGGCGAAAAATACGGTAATTGGCTATTCCATTTAGTATCGTGTCTATAATTAACATTATTACACAGGATTTATATAGCGCCAACATTTTGCTCAGCGCTTTTAGGTATTGCCTACCAGATTTATACAAAACCTGATGTCTAGAAACAAGCATTTAGAACAAGCTGCTCCTAGCTAAACTCTAATTCTCCTTCAATTTTACAGCACTGAGGTAAACCTACCCCTGAAATCCTATGAAGAATCATTTCAGAATGACAACAACTTCTGAGCAGCTGGTGTGTAAGCACATAGCAATGTAATATAACTGCCAGACCTACCCCTTCTGAAGCACAGCTCCATACCTCCTCACTCTTGGACTTGTGAAGAACGAAACCTTTCTTCCATTGGCCGTCAGCACCTTCGTTTGGTTTTCGGATGTTGAATTCAACTTTGGAGCGTGCTTTGTCTTGCATTGCCTTCCATTCATCCAAGGTCATTTCCTTGGGTCCTTCTTCCTTAACTTCTTCCACCTCATTTTCCCTGGAACACAAAAGTCACAGAATGTGGACAGGGATCCCCATATGCTGACAATGTGTCTTCACATGGTGGCTGGTGAAGGGACAACATATAAAAAGATATCTGGATCATCTTCACAATACAACTTTTATACTGACCCCCGGAAAAGACCTGTGTTTAAACCGATGCTATACAACAGGACAGAGTTTAAAAGCCTACAAAATTACAAAAAATAAAACTACCCTTGCACTGTCCACCCCCCCCCATCCCCTTTCTCCCATATTCCGTGTCCATTGAGAAGGATCCTGGGAGAATGGTGCTTCTACTCCACAGATGCATGTTCACACTGTGCTCCAGGGGCGCTCCTATACCAACACGGATGGAGGGTAAACACTTCCATCTCACACCATTACATCATCATTGGCACCCATGGCGGAGCAGAAGAACTTATGTTCATGATGTAAAGTTGTTGAACACTACAGACAGATTCTGGTGTCTAGAGATTAAAAATGCTGGCCTAGAAAATGTCACACCACCGATTGAAGCAGTATGGCACATGTAGCCAACTCTTCACCCAAAAGCAGTGCATTGATCTCCTCTTCTTCGACAACTCGAAGTGCCACTAAACAGACACAACAAGTGCTTTTAGAAGAGGTGGAACTTCATCGTACTCCTGGTACTCTAGCGGTAAAAAGCATTTAACCTTTGCAGTGCAGAAACAACCCCCCCCCCAAAAAGGGTTTTTTTTTTTTTTTTTTTTTTTGAATTCCTGAAGTTGGGCTTAGACCCCTTGCCTACTAAAAATGCATTTATAAACATTCTGGTATTCAAGGGATAAAACTAAATCTCATGGCTGCTGGTGTGAGCTTGGTATCTATTACAGCTGGTGATCCGCTTTCATGTTAAAGAGATCCCAATCGTTTTTATGGGGCTCTGAAGGTGACTTCGGCTGGCCATACACTATACAATTTTCTGTCCAATTTTCTTTAGATTTATCTTCAACTGTGTAGTGCAAGGGCCCACCAAATTGGATACAACTGAAAGTGTTTAGGTTTGACCTCATATTATATGGTTTTTGGTAAATCTAAAGCAATTTTCTAAAGAAAATTGTATAGTGAATGGTCAGCCTAAAAGGGTAATATGCTGCATAGGCAGTGAATAGGTTTTAAAAATATGACCGCCACTAGCAATGTTAAAGAGGAGCTCCAGTCGCCCTCCCAAAAAAAATAATATACTGTATGTGCTGACTTACTATAAGGACACTTGCCCGTCCAGGGATTTAGCACTGTCCTCACCTGAGCCGATTTTTTCAATCTGTTTCAGGTCCAGGCATCAGCATCTTAACTACAGGAAACTGGCGGTGAAGCCCTGCGGCTTCAACACTGCGCATGCGGCACTTCGAGATGGTCCTGCAGTCTTCTAGGACCTGTGATGTGTCTCAGAAGGCTGAGGGAGAAAGGGGGGGGGGGGGGGGGGGGGGGGGGGGGGTTTGCACAAACTTCCACTCGGATAGCTGCAGTAGTGGGACCAGGTACCTGTCAAAACCAGATACAAGTCCAACTCATTTCCTGGCTGGAGGACATCCATGATGATCTAGCCCAGGATTAGATAGTGTCAGCACTCCAGCGGTGATGAAACAAATCCCATCATGCTTATGACTCTAGTTAATGCCTGTGGGAGTCAATCCGGCAATATCTCATGGGATTTGTAGTTTCATCACAGCTAGCGTGCCAAGGTTGCCTACCCCTGATCTAGCCTTTTCCTCAAGCTCTGATGAAGAAGGGACTCCCTTCGAAACGCGTCAACCTGACAGTCTTCCCTCGTGACAAGACTCGGGCTGGTCTCACACTCCTAGAGTTTTGTTGAGGATCTTATACGCTTGCTTGTTAATACTTCTCTGAGTATATTTTTAAATTCAATAAAATCACATTTTATTGAGGTAATGCGCACGGTTGGTGCGCTTTTTTGTTTCACTTTACAGTACTGTCCGGGCTTCCCCAGCCTTGTTTAGGCTACGTTCACACTAGCCTTGTGTGCAGGCGGCAGAGAGGCGTTTGGGAAGCGTTTTTTACCGCTTCCCAAACGCCTCTGCCAATTCTGCACATTACAGCACATGGTGCTGTTCTAACGGTCGCGTTGCGGCAAAACGGACGCCTGTGGACGAGTGTGGAGAGTCAGGAGGCTTTGAAGCCTCCTATTCTCGTCTATGGTGCCGCTCCGCAAACGCCCGGCCGGCGTTTGCGACGCGTTTGCGGAGCGGTAACACCACTCAAACTGCATTATAGGCGTTTGTGGGGTGTTATTAACGCTCGGCAAAACGCCTAGCAACCGCCGCTAAACCGCGCATGCGGCGTTTGCGGAGCGTTAAAAAACGCTCCGCAAACGCCGGACCAACGCTTGCCAAACGCTATAGGGGCGTTTGGCAAGCGTTGGCAAAACAGCCTAGTGTGAACGAGCCCTTAGAGCCGTACAACTTTTAATGCATTGGTGGTGAATTTCTACAAGTTTCTGTTTCCATCTATCCTTGCTCTGGGTCATAGAGCGCAGGAGGTGTTTTTGTTTCCACTATTTATTTCAGGTACTTATATATCGCCATCAATTTACACAGCGCTCTACATATATATTGTACATTCACATCAGTCCCTAACCCTCAAGGGGCGTACAATCTAAGGTCCCTAACTCACATTCATACATACACATACTAGGGAAAATTTAGACAGCAGCCAGCCAATTAACCTACCAGCATGTCTTTGGCGTATGGGAGGAAACCGGAGTAGTAACCCGGACGAAACCCACACAGGCACAGGAGAACATGCAAACTCCAGCTGGGGGTGCCGTGGTTGGGATTCGAATCAACGACCCTAGTACTGCCAGGTGGAAGTGCTAACCATTTAGCCACTGTGCCTGCCCACTAGCCATTTCCTCATCAGCCGGACACTCCCTGGCCCAAGCCCTTTCATTTATTGGATGTAAGTTTTCAATCAGAGGCTCAGCATCACACGTGGGTATCACCTAGGGTGGCCTGCTGTTTTCAGGAAGCTACGTGTAGCCCTCTCGCTATCCATGATCTGCCCTCATTGCATAGAAAATAAACACCCAATGATGATATGGGTCTAAAAAGGGTTATGTAATACCAGAAACAGGTTTTACTTATTAGAAGTGAAGAATGAACCAGGGAGGCAAAATATAAACAGACGAAATACCAGCTTTAAGACTTACTTGTTCTCGGAGTCTACCACGGGCTGATCTTCTGTTTCAGTTGTTTCCTCAGTGACAGTTGACTGGTCCAGTTCGCTGGAAATTAAAGATGGGTGGAATTTAAGGGTTTTTTTTTTTTTTTTTCATTATTATATAGAAAAGGCATTTTCTGCATCTGTAAACGGCAGAGCAGAACACTACAAACAGCTTTACTCTTGATATTTGTTTTTTTTAAAGCCAAAATAAACCTGGCCATACAAGACCTCAACATACCTGCAATTTCCCCCACTTATCTGGGGAATATCTAAGTGGGCAAAATGCTAAGTAGCTGGCCATCTCTGGCTTCAATTGTTGTCTGAACCACCGACTTAAAACAAGCATGCAGCAAGTGAACACGATCTGTATATTTGTTTAAAGTTAGTGGCAGAAAGTACTGATGTCAGTCAGAAAGCTAACATTTTCAGGACAATGGCAGCCTACAGATTCTTCTGCATGCCTCAGTACAGGTCTGCCCTTAGGCGCCCATTCAGACCTGTTTGATGCAGAAAAGAACAGCAAAACGTTGCGCTATCAGCACATCAATTTACCATTGAAAATAACGCCTCGGTTTACAATTTTTTTTTCTCAATACGAAGTGTATGTCGGTGCCGATTTTTAAATGCAATTGCTGGCTTTTTTTTTTTCCTCTTCACTATAGCTGTCACTTTTCCCAGAGTTAAAGGAAGCTTTGTTTCTTTTAAGAAACTAAAAGGAAACATTGTTTCTTTTAACTTGGGGAAATAAACTAAAAAGAAACTTTCTTTTAGCTGGGGGAAAGGGACCGCTGAATCTCTGAGCTATAGTGAAGAAAAAACAAACAAAAAAAACAGTAATTAAATTTAAAAACCGGCACCATACTACTAAAATGTTTACAATGCACTTTCCCATACGAACCGACTATCAATTCGTTTCTTGTTCTAGGTAGAGAAAACAAGCCATCTCTGCTTGCGTGTCTGAGCAGCATAGCAGTGTTTTCCCAAATTAACATATGGCAAATCAGGCCATTTAAAATTGCATAGATGACAGAACGCATAAGCAAACGTTGAAACGTTCGTCCAATCAAAATCAGCAGATTCGGACAGCTGACACTCTATATGAACCTTGATTTGCCATCTATCTCGGTGTCTGTTCTGGTGTGCAGCTTTCACTAAAAGTAACCGTTTATGTATGGATTCATTAAAAGTTCAATTCAAATTCCTCAGATTTGTAAAAGATATTGATCTATACAAAAGCTGCCACACTAACCACGGGGCAATTGCAGGGGTCATCCCAACAGAGTCCAGCACCCTCTTACCACAATTTAAGGCAACACCCTGCCAAAAATATACACACTGCGAAAAAGTAGCTACTCAACTGCTTCATGTGAAATTATCTCTGAATGACACGCTGGGTGTGGTGCAAGTGCTGCATATTACTTCACAATTCATAAATTGTGTTCATACGGCAGATAAAAGTACAGCAAAAAAAAAAAAAAAAAGCACATTACACAGCAGAGTAGTGTGTAGTAGAGAGACTATATGGTCGGTGCTTGTGCCTTGAGACATTGGGTTCCCTATCCCCAGACTCGCCACCAATCGTGTCTAATACAGACATGAGACCGCATGCTCACTGGGGAACAGATGAATGGTAAATGTGGTCTTACTTCATAATGACTTGTGTGACAAACTAATAGTCCACATACAATTTTATTCCAATGTAGGGTCAGGTAGCAGATCACGGGGAATCAAAGACTTTTCAGATGTCCAAATGTTCCCACTTCATTGGGGCTTAAAGATGGGAACAATGTATATGGACTTAAAAAAATGAAAAATTTTTTAAAGAAAAATGCTTTTAAAATTGCACTGACCTTTCACAGAGAGAAACACAAAAATGCGAAAGGTGAACACCATACACCTTCCCCACTGTACTGACCTCTGGCGAGGTAAATCAGATTCCAAGTACAGTGAGTATTTATGGTATTATTTTGACCAATATACAAAGGACTCCTCTGCCACTGGTTTGGCATACCTATTGCCTCACCTTTAAGCATTGATGAAAGGGGCAAGTGTGGACAGGACTGGATTTACATCTTAGGAGTCTATAAGCAGGAAATCCTCCCCCCCCCCCCCCCCAAAAAAAAAAAAAAAAAAAAAAAAAAAAAAAAAAAAAAAGAACATAAGACCGACTTTCTTCTTAATAAAATATCTATGTGTAAAAGGGGAATGCTGCAGACTCTGATGTAAAGGGAAAAACTGCAAACTGTGATGCAAAAGAGAGTATCTGATGTAAGGGGGTCTCTGGATACTAGAGCCCCCCCTTACACAACAGTCTCCAGAGTTCCCCTTGCATCAGAGTCCTCCTTTACATCAGATTCCGCAGGGTTCCCCCTTACAGTGCAAGGGGGACCTCTACAGACCCTGATGTAAAGGGGAACTCTGATGTAAGAGGGACACTGCGGACTGTGATGCAAGCGGGAAACTTTGATGCAAGGTGGTTTCTGGTCACCAAAGCCCCCCCGCCTTACATCACAGTCAGCAGTGTTTCCCTTTACATCAGTGTTCCCTCTTACATTAGAGATCCCCTTTACATCAGGGTCTGTAGAGTTCTCCTTTACATCAGAATCTGCAGGGTTCCCCCTTACAGTGCAAGTGGGACCTCTACAGACCCTGATGTAAAGGGGAACTCTGATGCAAGGGGAACACTGCGTACCATGATGCAAGGTGGTCTCTAGTCACCAAAGCCCCCTGCCTTACATCATAGTCAGCATTTCCCTTTACATCAGCGTCCGCAGTGTTCCCTCTTACATTAGAGTTTCCCCTTTACATCAGGGTCTGCAGAGGTCCCCTTGCACTGTGGGCGCTAGTGTGACTCAATTCATCCTGGAAAACAACCAGGGCATTGCATTGGGGCTAGGCATCTCTCTGCCCATACAGACTGGCCCCTCTGGGAAGGGCGCTTGTAGCCACATGCCTACAGAGCCTAATGGGAAAGTTGGACCCCTGAAATGCACTGGCTACCCTTTTTTTTTTTTTTTTTTTAATATTCTACCTGATACTACACAGGAAATAAACTGTATTTGGACTATTTTGTGATCTAGTAATACAAACCAAGAAAACTGGGAATCCTCTAGTAAAAGCTGCCAGTCCAGTGACCAGGCAACCAGTACTAACGCCACAATACTATTGGATATTAAAGCGGACTTCCACTCACCCTGTCTAAAAAAAAAGTCAGCAGCTACAAAAACTGTAGCTACTGACTTTTTTTAAAAAAAAAAACAGCCACTTACCTGTCCCTCAGTGTGTCCCCCGCAGCCCGTTTCACCGGCCGTCCTGTATTCCAGGAGGCTGACATCTTCAGTGTGGGCACCCGGCTGTGACAGCTTGGGCTTCACAGCCGGGTACCCACTGCGCGCATGTGAGAGTAGTGCTGCACTTCACGAATGGTCCTGTAGTCTTCTGGGACCTGTCACGTGCCCCAAAAGACTACAGGGAGGGAGGGAGGACACCTTCCGCTTCCGATTGCCTAGGCGATTGGACTGGAAGTGGGTACCTGTCAAATTCGGGTACCCGCTCCCCCCACCCCCCAAAGGTGCCAATCCTTAATAGGGAGCGGGGGAGCAGTCCTTAAATGGGTGGAGCTCCGCTTTAATACCAATATGACCAAACTAGGCACAGACTATCCACTTTCCCAAGTGACTGCATAATGTAACTTTTAAAGATTTAATAATCCAGCTACACTTGTATGAATGGGTTTTTGTAGCACCCTAAACAGTACATTGAATAGTTTTTCTTGGATGCTTGACCAGGAGAATGGACTGCAACACGTTTATACTAGATAACTTGTCTATGGCTGCCAACAGATTCTCTTCAACAGGCTTAATATGGGGGGAAAGCTTATCATGCTGCACAGCAAGTGCTTATCAGCCCAACACCGCAGACCTCAGGGTGCCACCAGCAGACACACAGACACGTACACACACACACACACACACGTACGTACGCACACACATACATACACACACATACAAAGCAAGACCACTTTAACATAGCAAGGCCAACTGCAATGCTCAGATATTAGCAATGGATTCTATACTTCACATGCAAATGATTTGATTGCTAGCAAATCCCAAGTACAAAAAAAGTTTGAATTATCCTAGCAAACGTGAAAAAGTGATGCAGCTTCAGCTAGAAAGCAAAAATTCTGCAACAGCTGTAAAGCAAACTCATCAGAAAAGAAATTGAGCATGTCATTACTGACCTACTGAAAATGCTAGTTGCCTGGTTATGCTCACCCACTGGCTGTGTGTCCCGGATCTAAAATGTATTAGATTAGGAAAGCCCTTGTTCTGGGCCAATGCCTCCGTGTATTAAGGGAAGAAACACCTGCCAGGTGACTAGCATTTTCAGAAGGAAGGATTAGCAGTGGAATCCTCTTGTTTTTATCATGACAGGCTTCATTTAATACACCTTGCAGGTACTTTCCACCTCTATCCAGGGATGCACTGAAATTTCGGTGGCCAAAACATTGCGACTGAAAACACCTCTTTCGGCCGTAATGAAAACAAGGACTGATACAGTTGCCGAAAAAACCCCGCCCCTCGCCGCCACCAGAAGCCGCTCGGTAGTTCTCAGCCTTACCTGAGAAACCATCAATCGATCACGGCACCGGGCAGAGATGAGTGAAGGAAAGATGACCTCCACTCATCTCTATGCCCTTGGAGGACCGGAGCGACGTCACTTTTCGTTCCAGCCATTTATTTCTTTTTAAATCACTAGATCAATACATTGTAGAGGAGAGATGTGGGGTCCCATTGGCCCCATATCTCTCCATAAAGAGGACCTGTCACTAATTATTTCTATCACAGGGGATGCATGCATTTCTTGTGATAACAATAAAAGTGATTAAACATTTTTTTTTTTAAAAAGGGACAGTGCAAAAAAAAAAAAAAAAAAAAATGTATTTATTTTTTTTAAAGTTAAACGTGCCCCTGTCCCCCCGTGCTCGCACATAGTGGTGAATGCATACATAGGCCACGCCCACATAGGTAAATGGTGTTCAAACCACACACACGTGAGGTATCGCCACGAACGTCAGAGCAAGAGCAATAATTCTCACACTAGACCTCCTCTGTAACTTCACAATACTAACCTGTAGAAATGTTAAAAAGTGTCACCCATGGAGATTTCATTTCCGCAGTTTTGCACCATTCCACCAGCGTGCGCAATTTTAAAACGTGACATGTTGGGTATCTATTTACTCGCCGTAACATCCTCTTTCATATTTTACATATAGATTGTTTTTTTTTTATAATCAAAGTGTGTTTTTCACCAAAAATTATATATTCATATTTAAAAACTGCGCATTTCGGTTTCTGTTTTCGGCCAAGGGCATTTTGAATTTTCATTTCTGGCACCAGAATTTTCATTTCGGTGCACCACTACCACTATCCTGTGGTTTTTAGCCATGCCTTTCTAGCCTCCAGCAGATATGATATTCTTCAAAGATACTTCAGAGCCACGCATATCACTTGGAAACAAACCTTGTGCCACTGGGGCAGCACGGAAGTGCGTACAGCCGCATCACTCCCCTGTTCTGTGCTGGGAGTGTGCTCAAGCATGCTCCTCCAGCACTGTGACTGCACTGTCACGGACAGCACCAAGTCACTTTTTATGATCAGAAGCCTGCAGGACAGGGCCCTCAGTCACGTTATCACTCTGACAGCCAATCACAGTGATCAAATAACAGTTAAGCCCTGGTGTTAAGATCCCCTAAAAAGGCCAGCTCCAGTCGGCATACCAGGCTGAAAATGTTGTTTTATTTTTTTTTTCTTATGGTCAAAGTTACATGAATACGAGTAATATCCAGTACACTAAGGGGCCCATTTAGAACACAGAGCAGATATAATCTGCAGCAATACTCTATGGTCTGCATTTAAAGTGTTACTAAACCCACAACAGTAAAATCAGTCTGTAGATGCAGTAAAGCATGCTTGTTATACGCACTGTAAAACCTAAGGGGTTAATCCTGTGCATTTTGTAAAAAAAGCTGTTTGATCCTGTCTTCTCTGAACCTGCCCTTCTTCCAGTGTCCCCCTCCTATCGCCTGATAAGCCATATCGTGAGGAGACACTCTGTACATGCTTAGTTTAGTGTGTATTGCTAGAGGTTTTTTTTTTTCTTCTTGGGAGAGTGCATGTGATCAGCACAGGGCCAATCAGCACTGTCCAGACAGAGGTCAGGGGTCCTGCACCCTCCTACAGCAGAATGAAAACGCACTCCTACAAGCTTTAACCAGTGCTCGGATGGACACTGATAGAAGTCACAAGTCTGCTCTAACTACTAAAGAGAAATGGTATTTAGAAGTTTATTTGTACTAAAATAATTGCATTTCCATGTTCTGTGTACTGTGGGGGCCAGATATGGTGAATGCAGGGTCCGGGGAGACCAGATATAGTGAATGCAGGGTCCGGGGAGACCAGATATAGTGAATGCAGGGTCCGGGGAGACCAGATATAGTGAATGCAGGTTCCGGGGAGACCAGATATGGTGAATGCAGGGTTCCGGGGAGACCAGATATGGTGAATGCAGGGTTCCGGGGAGACCAGATATGGTGAATGCAGGGTCCGGGGAGACCAGATATGGTGAATGCAGGGTTCGGGGAGACCAGATATGGTGAATGCAGGGTCCGGGGAGACCAGATATATGGTGAATGCAGGGTCCGGGGAGACCAGATATGGTGAATGCAGGGTCCGGGGAGACCAGATATGGTGAATGCAGGGTCCGGGGAGACCAGATATGGTGAATGAAGGGTCCAGGGTTTAGTAATACTTTAAGGCCCATTCATAAAATACAAGCTTTAGTATCCTACAGAGCTCTCTCTGTGATTGGAGGAGAGTTAGTCAAAATGACATTATGAAGGTCTGGCATGTGACTTTTTACACTAAGCGTTTATAGGGCTCTATAGGTTGCTAAGAACATTTGTAATGCACACAGATGTCCCCTGCTTTTAACCAGGGGTATTGGCCATAGTAAAGGTATATTACTGCTTTGTAAGTCAACCCCCTAGAACTGCTTCACACCAGTGTGACTTGTCCATGCGATTTGACAGTTGCAAATTGCATGACAAGCCACACCCTATTTTTCGCAATGGAACCGTTCAAATTGGTGCGACTTCGACTTTGCGGTACCGCACAGATATGAAAAAAAGGTTCCTGCACTATTTTATGCAATTTCAGGTGCAACTTGCATTAAGTTGCACAGATGTCAGGCAAGCTGCACCTGAAATCGCACCAACCTGCGGCTTTGAAAATTGCGTGACTTCAAGTGAAGTCATACGATTTCAAAGTCAGATTCAGTGTGAACCAGGGCTAAATCTGAATTGAAAATGAACAAAAAACCTTGTGGTATTCAGCACACATTGACAATAGATTAGATCCTCAAATGCAACTAGACCACCCTGTTAGTAGTCAATTGCAGTCATTTTGAAGATGGTTTCAAAGGGTAAAATCTCTGTAGGAAGGGTGGCTCCTCCTATGAAGTGGCTCATCTAATGTGCATTGCACCTGCTCATCTAGTGAGTAAGCAGACAAGTCCCCAGAGTGCATCATTTCTTGCACAGATTGCCATGATCATCTCTTAATAGTGAATGGTCCGCCCGACAATGACCAGACTTTGGCAACCTTACCTTTCAAACAGTGCGAGACCAGTCAATGCAGGCCGCATGCAGCTACCTTTTTGCATAGGCCTACTTCGTTGTGTGGCTAAATCATGCTAGCAGCGACCATATTAGTGGAGGTTCAGGCTATCAGATATTCAAAGAAAGACCCTCTTGTCACAATTAGTGTAATCTATTGATCAAAGGGGGGGGGGGGGGGGCAAGGATATGTCTGATGTAAACGTCATATGATGCTACAAGAGATGTCAAATGAGAAGCTCATTGCTGCTTTTTAGAGAGTTAAAACTGCTGATTTTAGGGACAGGTCCACTACAAGTGGTATAAATGTACATTCAGTCATGCAAGAGCAACTTTCCGATTCTACAAAAAACACAAAACCAACCCATTCTAAATCTCTGCAAACCCAAAGTATTTTTACAAACTCTCCACCCAGTGCACAAGCAGAAGGAATAACCACAAGGCAGCTACTACAACCAACCTCAGTTCATCCTTAACAGTGCCCCAGTTGTGAGATCCGCTGCCTCCCCTCTTGTCCTCATGCTTCGGGCCACTGAAAGAAGAACTAATGAAAATGAGTTACATTGTCAGTGTTTGAGAAGGAGTATCGGGGAAAAAAAAACAACAAGAAGAAAACAAAGCAAAATCCACTTACGCTCGGTCGCTTCCACTATGCCTGTCAAATTCACGTTTGCCACGGGAGTCAAAGCCATCACCTCTGCCTATGCCACGTCCACGGCCGCCGCGTCCCCTTCCACCGGGGCCACCACGACCACGTGCTGGCCTTTCGCCAATAGGCCTGGAGGGGAAAGATGAAAATTGAAGTATACAAAACAGCAAGTGTTAAAGCTATTCTGTTGCTATATGAATGAAATAGAACCGCCTTGAAAAAAAAGGCAATGGATACACCTTACCTGCCCCGCTGGCAATGGTAATAACCAATTCCCATACTATAGAGAAATCAAGATAGGCGTGCATATGTTTACCTTCAGCACAGGGGCGGACTGACCATTCGAGCACTCGGGCACTGCCCCAGGGCCCGAGGTCAGTAGGGGGCCCCATGAGATGCCCCTGGTACCTTTCATTGGCTTTTTTTGGGTGTGGGTGAGGACACAGGGGTCCCATGATCCTCCATTGCCCAGGGGCCCCATGGGTTGTCAGTCCGCCCCTGCTTCAGCAACATTTTTCATAGAATACAATTAAAGGCTAGATTTAAAGCTGCTGAGCCTCATTTCTCTTCCAATACTTATAGTAAGTCCTCTCCCATGTGCAAAACCAATTACTCTCAATTCCCCGCAAACCTGCCGCAATTTGCAGACGCACCCATTTAATACAATGGTGCTTCCAAGTGGATTCTTCAGAAGGTCGGCATTTAAAAAAAAGAGTATACTGTGGGCTGAAGGAATGCAGAGCTCCTGCCCATTAAGGTGTACTGTACTTTCCTGACAAAGTGCTCATTAAAGAGCCATGAAACACGTTGGCGTTTTAAACTTTTATGATCATTAGAAACTCCTTGAAGAATGCACTTGGTACCACCCTATTCTGTTTTTATATTCATTTTGTAGCCTTGTCCTTTTTACTTTTGGTCACTGATCTGATTGCAACCTAGCAAAGCGCAAGAATTTCCAGAAATTCTGGATGAGCATCGACTACCCACACTCTGCGTGAAGGCAAGCATAAGTCTCCATATGTGCAAAAACAGGTTGCCTGACCCTAGAATGGGTATCCAGCAACCTTCTACCTTTCCCATACATACAACTGAATACTACCCCTTAGATCAGTGGTTCTCAACCTTCCTAATGCCGCGACCCTTTAATACAGTTCCTCATGTTTGTGGTGACCCCCAACCATAAAATTATTTACCCAGTAATTATAATTCATGAAGTGTTGTTTTACCTCCAATACTGCTGCTTTCAACACAGTATGCTTTTAACAGAGTAGCTGCTTTCTACACAGCAGCTGCTTTCTACACAGTATTCAAAATATTTGTTTTCAATGGTCTTAGGGGACCCCTGTGAAAGGGTCGTTCAACCCCCAAAGGGGTCGCGACCCACAGGATATGAACCACTGCCTTAGAAGGATCTCTTGAAGCTTTTTATCTCTTTTCTCTCAGTCTCTGCACCTCTGACTCACCTCCACAATCTAACCCTTTGAAGCTGCAGCAGAATTCACGTACCAACCTTAAATTTCCTGTCTGAACATTTCAATCCTCAATCCTCTCTCCACCTCATCCGTGTGGTCATTGTTTCTCACAGCTGTTGGCTTTCTAAGCTATAATTTTATGATCAAACGATATAGTGAAGAACAAATCTCCCTTTAGACATCCATGCTCGGATAAATGACAGACAAAAAAACTAAAGTCTGCAGCACCCAATGGGCAGCAGGGAGGAGCATGCATGTCTAAAGGGACGCCGGGCATATGTTCTTTCAAGATCTGATGCAGAGTGCGGTGTTTACAGGAGCCTACAGCCCCTGACCAGAAGTAATGCAAACACCAGGCAGCGATGACGTCACTGGGTCTCAAAAGGAGGTATAACATGAAAACAAAAGGATTTGAATGAAAGTTTATATTTGCGTATTGATACAAAACCCACTTGGGAAGGATTACATGCGTGCATTACACTTCAGGTTTGATGTTCTTTTCCACTGCCAGCAATGTTATCCTATAGTTCCGTTTCCTACAAGAAATCTATTCTTAATGTGGCTGTGAGTTCAGATCCCAGCCCTGACCCCCAGCTCACTCAATGTTGGGCAGACTACAGAATGCCAAAACATATCTAGAAACCTGGAAAGTTTATCATGAAACTACATTTCCTTGATCTCTTTGGCCTCCTGGAGAAACATGCACTGGGATTAATTGACGGACTTGTTGGGGTGGTAAATGCTAGGTTTACAAATGAATGCATTACCCAATGCCCGGCTACATGTCACACTCTGATTTCAAATTACTGCAGCCGATGCAGGGCCGCAATAATTTGTAACAGTGTTGGGAGTCTTGGCACAGGATTAAAGGAAATGAGGAAAACCATTGTGTTATGGGAACATAAAGGGAGTTTGGCATTTCGGAGGGCAAAGTTTGCAGTTTTAAGCGATACCCTTCACTGGCTAGATTATGTTATTAAAGATGAAAGCTTTTGGGGTCCCTAAGATCCCTTCTTTAGTCTTAATGCAATTATCAAGGCCTGAAGTTGGAATCCAAGGCACCCCAAAAAGCTTAAATCTTTAAGCAGCACCCTTTATTGGCCAACTTAAAGTGGAGTTCCACTCACGCTGTCAAAAAATAAGTCAGCAGCTATAAAAACTGTAGCTGCTGACATTTAAAAAACAGCCACTTACCTGTCCCTCGGTCCCACGTGTGTGTCCCCCCTGCAGCCCGTTTCACCGGCTGTCCTGTATTCCAGGCGCCAACATCTTCAGTGTGTGGGATAGCTTGCGGCTTCACAGCCGGGTACCCCTGCACATGTGCAAGAAGCGCTGCGCTTTGTGCAATGGTCCTGTAATGGGACCTGTCATTCCCAAAAGACTACAGGGAGAAATCAAGGAGGGGGGGGGGGGGGAACCTTCCGTTTTCCTATTGCCTAGCACGATGGGACCGGAAGAGGGCGAGTACCTGTCAAATTCGGGTATCTGCCCCCCCCCACGCCCCTCAAAGGTGCCAATCCTTAATGGGGAGTAGTCTTAAAGAGGAACTTCCCCGGGGTTGGAGCTCCGCTTTAAAGCGTAATCCCAGACGTGAAATATGAACAAAGTAGATCCCTGTATAGTGTGTACTTGACTCAGTTAAAGTGGTAGGAAACGCGTTTGGTTTTTTTTACATTTTACCTACAAATCAGCTCAAAAAAACAAAAAAAAAAAAAAAAAAAAGCTTACCTGTAGGTAAAATGAACATCCCCTAAACATGCACTGCTTAGGAGATATTTTCTCTTTTCTAAAGCCGACGCATGCGCTCTGAAGGAATGGCATGCCCGTGCCATTCCTTCAGAGCTGTGTGCCGTGGTCCGGGACTACAGCATGCATGGGAGTGACGTCATCGCAGCCCGGCCTGTCAGACAGCCGGAGCTCACAAACCTGAAAGGAAGACCGGGTGAAGATGGAAGCCTCTGCAGCAGTGACAGCGTGCTGCTGGAGGGCTTTGCTTTAAGGTACGTTTTATATAATGAGCTAGTATAAGATGCATACTAGCACATTAGGGACATTACTTTGCAGTGGATTCCCCCCCCCCTTCTTTTCTTCTTTCCAGCGGTTCACTACTGCTTTAAGAGCACTAAAACGTCATCTCAGTCTGCTGCTAGTTTCTCTCTTATAAGCCTGAGTCACTTTTTACACATTTTCCTGACACCGAGACTAAAGGGTGACAGGGGGGAGGGCACAGCCTGCGATTGAAGGCCTTTAGCTCTGTTCCTGTGTGAAGGAGGGTGCATCCCTTTCCTCCAATCAGTTCTCCCCACTGTTATAAAACTTCCCCCCCCCCCCTCTGCTTTTCAGACCTGAGAGATCCTGTGTAAATTCTGCACTTTGGATGGATGTAGAGAACAGATGGCTACAGATAATCAGGTACATCTTATGTAGGAGGATTTGTTTCATCTCTCTGTATCACCTGAGGCCAGTCACTTCACTAGGTATATGTAAGGGTTTACAACCGCCAAGTTTTGACCCCTAGACACCGAGCGCACACAAATATACGGCCTCTGGGCCTTGATGCTGAGTGGCTGCATATTTGAGTACCATTTGAAAATACATACGTGCTGAGAGCGTGCGCCCTGCGTGCTCCCAGCACACGTCAGTGCCTCACGGAAAGGTCTCCATCTCCCCTTGCGATCGGGACCTTTTACGATCATGTGACCACCGTGACAGCGAATCACGGCGGACACATGACCCTAAAACCCCGCCCCCTTAAACCTCTTAAAGGGTCAGAAGGCGCCGGCGCAAAGGGGTTAAACACCAAACGTGCTGCAATAATAGAAGGCGAACAAGGTAGGAATACTCAACCACAGCTAAGTAGGCAAAGCGAAATAATGTTAAGGAATAAAAATTCAGGCTCCATTTTAACCAGTTCAAGTCTGGCCCATGTATATAAACGGCCGGACGGGGGCAGTGCAGGAGCGGGTTGCCGTTCGTAAACGGCGGCCACCAATTTAGGACTGTGCGTGCTCCCTGGGAGCACGCAGCACCACGATCCGGAACACCAATTGCTGTACGAGACCTCTGTGTGAGGTCCCGATCATGTGATCACTGATTGGCCAATCAGTGATCACATTAATAGTAGTAAGCAAGATGTATATTCTGACATCATTGCTTACTATGTGTGAAATCTGTGAATGATCAGAGATCACATGGTACAAGGCTATTCACGACAGCCTTGTATCATATGACAAGCTGTGACCAATCACAGCTCACAGTATTTCTCAATGGCTGCAAGAATGCAGCCAGAGAGAAGGAGAAATGATTGCTTTTATGGGTGGAAAAGCAATCAGTGTAAAAAAAAAAAAAAAAAAAAAAAAAATCTTCATCACCCCCAAGTAGTACAGTGTCACTATGGTGACACTGTATTGCTAGGGTGACAGTATGTTAAAAAAAAAAAAATATATATATATATATATATATATATATATATATATATATATATATATATATATATATATATATATATATATATATATATATATATATATATAAAAAATAAAATGTTAATTTTTTTTTTAAATTACAATTTTTGGTTATAAAAACTAATTTGGGTTATTTTTTTTTTTTTACTAAAAAGATAACAGAATACGTTTTGGCCAAGATTTATGATGAAATATTTGCTAAATTTTTTAAAACCCTTTTTTTCAAGATTTTTGGACTTTCATTTACATAGCAAAAAAAAAAAAAAAAAAAAAAAAAAAACCAAATCCCAGTGGTGAATAAATACCACCAAAAAAGTTTTATCTGTCTCAAAAAAAATTCTAAAAAATGCATATGGGTAGTGTTGCATGCCCGCGCAATTGCCATTCAAGGCGAGACAGCGCTAAAAGCTGAAAATTGGCCTGGACAGGAAGGGGGTAAAAATGTCCGGACATGAAGGGGTTAAGGAAATATGAATTTTAAACCGACTGTAAGTCAAGATCAGGGGCGCACTGACTATTTGGAAACTCTGGCACTGCCAGAGGGCCCGGGGTCAGTAGGGAGCCCCATAAGATGCCCCTGGTACCTTTTTCATAGGCTTTTTTGAGTTTAGGCAAGGACACACAGGGGCCCCATGATCCCCTATTGCCCGGGGGCCCCATGAGTTGTCAGTCCGCCCCTGGTCAAGATGCCAATCTTAAACAAACCTTAAACTATTCAAATATATCTGATTAAAGGCTTTCAAGAAGTAATGCAAACAAACATTTTGCTAGAGCAGAATTCAGTGATAAGCTTTTGGACATTTGCTAATTAGCAGAGTGCTGAAAACTTTTCAGAGCGCAAAGATTACCTGTCCACAGAAAATTCCCCTCCGTCACCCTTCTCTTCGGCTGGTTTCTCGAAACGACGTTCGCGAGGAGGCCGCCTGTCTGTTTGCCTTCTGTCGATGGGCTTCCCTTCGCCCTGAGGGGCCTGTGAAGTTTGCTGCTGTGGTGGTTGTTGTTGCTGGTCGGGTCTCCTACCGACCCTCCTGATTCCTGTCACACACAAAACGGCACATGTCAGTATATCAATGGTGCAGCCGACTCAAACAGAGCATGTGATAAAAGAACATTGCGCTTCTTCAACCATCTGATTTGACGAGCAGCCGGGGGCCCAGACATATCATTAAAGCATGTGATGCCGACAAACTAGAAGATTGCTGCCCTGTTGTAGTGACATTGCCGCCAATCCTCACTTTTTAAAATAAAACCCATTTTGGCTGGCTCCAGTCCCGTCTCTGCGCAAGTATTCAGATTAGGAGTTCCCACATTATTTATTTCAGGTACTTATATAGCGCCGTCAATTTTACGCAGCACTTTACATATATATTGTACATTCACATCAGTCCCCAACCCTCAAGGGGAGTACAATCTAAGGTCCCTAACTCCCATTCATACATACACATACTATGGACAATTTGGACAGGAATCAATTCACCTACTAGCATGTCTTTGGAGTGTTGGAGGAAACCGGAGTACCCGGGAGGAAACCCACGCAGGCACAGGGAGAACATGCAAACTCCAGGCAGGTGGTGCTGTGGTTCGAACCAATGACCCGAGTACTGCCAGGCGGAAGTGCTAACCATTTAGCCACTGTGATCTGTATACTTAGTCCCAAGACTGAAAATCGCAAACAGACATTTTCAGGAGGTCAGCAACTGCAGATTCCATTCTGCATCTCAGAAAAATTCTCCTTTGGAAGCAAATATGTTACCAAGAATGCCTGTGTGAAACATCGAGGATAGAAGCTGCCATTTTAATGCGAGAGATTTAAAAGTGAATGCAGTAAAAAGCCCAAAAACAAAAAAATGTATTATATTGCAGCTTACCAGTTCTTACCCCCGGTTCACATTTATGCGGCCGTGTTTTGCACGGGCACGAGAACCCATTCATTTGAATGGACTCCTGTGCCCTGTGACACGCAGGGAAGAAGTCTCTGCACTTCTGAAAATGCAGCCCGCACAGGAACCTCGGTTCCCAGTACGGTTGAGTTTTCCAGTGCGGGCGGCATGCCATTAGAAGTCATGACACCCACCCACGGGTCCGCATTCTTCTGTGCGGGAGGTGCGGCTGCACGGATTGTATTTCGTGCGGATCCGCAGCGGCACCACCTGCACATATATGAACCTAGCCTCAGATGTGATGGCTGCTTTAGTTTTTTTAGACTTATTTTAAGCTGGTGATCTGTCCAGTAAGTCTGTTTTTCAAAAGCACAAGCTCTTGCAGATGTAGCAGTTGAGGAATGAGACAAACCATTTAACACTGACAGGGGTGCTTACAATAGTCAGCTTTTATGTAAAACCTTTATTTCATAAGAAAGAAAAAAAAACTTGTTTGCTGTATCTGCTTATAAAGTGTGAAATCTAGTTTGGCTTTAATTTGTTAGATGTACTAGGAGGTTTAGCTACACCAATACCCCCCCCCCCCCCCCAATTAACGCTGCTGTTCAGATGTGCCCCCTGTGCTTCTTCATCCAGGGTGAGGGCACTTCAATACAGGAGCTGTGTTACTTGCCAGATCAGGTGAAAACAGAGGGAAAAGAAGTATAAAAACACCTTTTTGAAAGCTGCTGGAAGGATTCATGCTGGACCAATGACTTGCTTACTAGCTCTGAGCTTCAAGAGGTATAAGTGGCTGGAAAAGCTCAACGTTTTTTTTACGCACAAAGGTGTAAAAAAAAAAAAAAAAAAAAAAAAAAAAAAAAAACTCTGTGCAGCAATCCGCCCCTAATACTCAACTAAGCTCCCTCTCGATCTGGCAATGTGCACTGGAGTCTCAGCTATCCCGGGACTCCCTCTCCTCATTGGCTGAGACAGCAGTAGGAACCACTGGCTCCCGCTGCTGTCAATCACAGCCAGCGAGCCAATAAGAATAGAGATGGGGCAGGGCTGAGCCGCGGCTCCGTGTGTGAATGGACACACAGATCAGTGGCTGGGGAGTGTGCATGCTCGGGGGCACCAAATAGGAGGGAGGGGCCAGGAGTGCAGGCGGGGGACCCGAGCGGAGGATGATCCGGGCGGCTCTGTGCAAAACCACTGCACACAGCAGGTAAATACAGACACGTTTTAAGAAATTAATAAATAATAATTAAAGTCTTTAGAATCACTTTAAACCCAACACCAAAAATCTAATATTTTGCAGCTTACCAGTAATTTGATGTGGTGGCTGCATTAGTTTTCTTTTTTGCTTCATGGCAGTTTAAACTGCATGTCCAAGACAATTTATTTTCTTGGTTTTGGATAAAGTGGGCAAGTGTCCGTATATAGACAGGTTTATCTGCCATCTGGTGCTCCATTACAAATATTTCCCATCACTTCCTACCTTGCTGGCAATGTTTTACATGACAGAAAGTGAGAGGAACTCTCCAAGACTAATGCCGGCCATACACGGGTCGAAATCAGACAGATTTTTCGCCCAAAAATCAGACCTAAGAATAAATCGGCCAATTTTCGCTCTTTTAGTGGGTCAATGGCACCGGCCGATTTTCGTGTTTCCTCCTCTTTTTTCGGTGATCGGGCGTGTTGGAAAATTTGTGAAAAACGACCGATTGTTGACTCAACGATGGCCCAAACCGTACGATCGTTTTTCCGAAAAAATATGCGCATGAGCCGCGACCTGGAAGGAGCAGAAGTTTTGCCTGTTATATGGGGTATGACTTTATGACTTGGTCGGCTGGTTTTTAAAATCATTGATGGCGCCATCGGATTACTGAGCGAACGTTTATGATTTTCGGATGAAAAATCGTTCAGAATTCAACACATGTACGGTCGGCATAACAAAAAGGTTTTTCTTGTTAATATGGAAAGTAGTTGCTAAAAGGTCACCTAAAAAATGCTTCCTACCCCATTAAAGATGTATACATGAACTGAGCTATCAGCCTTGAGCATGCCTGCCAACCCCCCCAAAACATTTCCAAAGCCGATACTGGACAGATTTAGGCGGCACTAGGGTATGGTTTCTTTCCTGCTGCTAGTTCTACATACAATTCCTTACAGTAGTCAACAGAGATAGGAATGGTTTCAGCAGGGGCCTTCCAACTACAGCCTCCAGCTGTTGAGAAACTACAAGTCCCATAAGGCATTGCAAGACTGACAGCCACAGACCTGACCTCCCAGAGGCATGATGGACCTTGCAGGTCAACAGCTGGAGGGCTGTAGTTTGGTGACCCCTTTGGGCAGGGAGATAGGCAAGATCTATTGTGGACTGGCAATCAAGGAGCAATGTTGACTGCAGTAGAATTTGGGGCCGAAGTGATGCTACTGCATTAAGCTCTAGTTCCCCATTAGATTGTAAGCTCCCAGGATCAGGGCCCTCCTAACCCTCTTGTATTGAACTGTATTGTTTCTGTATTGACTCCCTTTGTATTGAAAGAAACCAATGGGCAGCACCGTGGCTAAATGGTTAGCACTTCCGCCTGGCAGTACTCGGGTCGTTGGTTCGAATCCCAACCATGGCACCACCTGCCTGGAGTTTGCATGTTCTCCCTGTGCCTGTGTGGGTTTCCTCCGGGTATTTCTGTTTCCTCCCACACTCCAAACACATGCTAGTAGGTTAATTGGCTCCTGTGTAAATTGGCCCTTGTATATAAATGTGAGTTAGGGACCTTAGATTGTAGATCCTTGAGGGTTAGGGACTGATGTGAATGTACAATATATATGTAAAGCGCTGTGTAATTGATGGCGCTATATAAGTACCTGAAATAAATAAATATTGTAAAGCGCTGAGCAAACTGCTGGCGCGATATAAATCCTGTATATAATAATAATAATAGTAAATGTAGCCAATGCAAACGGTGAAAACAAGAACATTTAAAGTGGTTCTAAAGACAGAATGTTTTCTACCTTAAAATGATAAGTTCACCTTTGGGAACATGTTACATGTTCTACCCGGTTTTTTTTAGGGTGGAACATGTTCCCATAGCTGAAGCCACGCCCCCCCCCCCCCCCCCCACCTTTTGACAGGGAGAAGTTTCCCGTACTGTCAGATTTTAAAACAGGCTGTGTGAGGCTCCACCCACACGGCCGCATCATTCATTCACAGAGTTCAGTGAATGAATGTCTACAAGTCCCGGCAGCTTTAGCGGCGGTCGGCTTGTAGTTTTCATTGAACTACCATGGAGCTGTGGAGTGTGGTGGTAGTTCATTGAAGTACATCCTGTACGACAAGCAGATATTCTGACAGGTCTGCAGGAGACCTGCATGGCATCAGCGATCTACCGATCGCTGCTGCAATGTTTTCCAGGTTCTGGCAGACAAAAACAATAAATGTACTTTTTACCTGCAAAAAAAAAAAAAAAAAAAAAGTGCATTTATTAATTTTTTATCAAAAAGATGAACTTATCCTTTAATGCATTCTATGCGTGAAGGTAAAAAGCCCTCTGGGTGCAGCAACTCCCCCCTCAGCTACCCTTCTACTTACCCGATCCTATCTTGATCCAGCGATGTGCATGACAGCAGAGGCTCTCCCAGGTGTCTCTCTCCTCATTGGCTCACAGCAGCAGGACCCAGTGGCTCCGGCTGCTGTCAATCACAGCCAGTGTGAACCTATCCTTTAATGCATTCTATCCTGTTAATCATATCCCGTTATGATTCAGCACGAGATCATTTGAAACACGTTAACAGGTCCTGTCTTCATGTCCTGGTGTTTTGTGTGTCCTATGGATCAATAAATACACACTATATTCATCTATCCTCCGGTGTGCGGCTGACCCTTCTGCCTGTTGCATTGTGTGTGGTGGTGAGCCAGAGCCTGCACCCGTTGTGGATTGATCTGGATTGTTTGCCTGAGCGGTATACCTTTGATCGAAGGTAAAAAACCTTCTGGGTGCAACTCTCCCCTCAGCTACCCTTTTACTTACCTGAGCCCCATCTCGATCCAGCGATGTGCATGACAGTAGCGGCTCTCCCAGGTGTCTCTCCTCATTGGCTCACAGCCAGAGCCACTGGGTCCTGCTGCTGTCAATCACAGCCAGTGAGCCAATAAGGCGAGAGTGAGGC